CTGCACTAAGCTTCTGGGTCTCCCAGCACAGCGTCTTTGCCAAGAAAACCCACTTCCTCTACAGGTGAGGCTGCTTCCTGTTTACTTCCTGATCACTTGTCTTCTTTGAACCATTTATTGTGACAAATGAGGTACCTGCAATGCCAATATTTTCTGAGCGTTATTGTATAAAGAAAAGCCTTATGCTATTTTTAAGACGTTTTACTGTTTGGATTATTTTAAAGCTGATGTACAATATATATCTAAATGATGATGAAGAGTCTGAAGACCCCTTTCAGATTAAACCCTGTTGGCTTTTTGATAACATAAAAAAGTAATGATGAGGAAAAATGTATACAATGACCAACAAAAGTAACTAACAGTGATTTTTGATTATATTTCAAGTTGAATTAACCACTGTAGATAAAGGGACAACAGATTATTTCTGATATGTTGAATCGTCTAAAAAAGGAAGAGACATCAGAAAGAGCGACATTAAAATAAAGAACGGACAATCAGAATGAAAATGAAATAGGTAAATTGATAGATAGCACTTCTGTGTACCATGTACCATTAGATCAACTGCTTAACCTTGCAATGTGTGAACTTTTGCTGAATAGGAACCATTAAGGGATAGGACTACCAGTGGCTGCGTTCATATAACTCTAAATGTGGAATAAATGCCCTGATGTTTAGTGTAATAAATACTTAATTTTTAACATGACAAAATCTAATTTCCTCCCATTACTTCTACTTCCATAGTCTCTCACTAACCTTCCAACCCTCATCAAATCTCCCCTCTTCTTCTTCCAGGATATTCTTGCGCTCTGGTTGGGGCTGGACCTGCATCTTTGTTGGCTCCTTCGTCTTCCTCCTCTCCTTCTCCATTCGTCGCTCCATCTCTCTGTCCATCCGTCACCTTTCTCGGCTCGGGGTGGCAGGCGGATTGTGGGTCGGTTTCTGCAAACTCCTGGACCTTCTGGAGAACACCACCGGAAGCTGCTACGAACGTTTACTCAACAGCCCGGAGGTCACCAACGGGCAGCCTCTGTTGGTGCTGCGAGAGGGGGCGAGTAAGTCAGAGTGCCTCAGAGCTGGGATGCTGTGGAGGGGGTATGAAGTTTCAGAAGATGTCTTCCTCCTCTGTCTCTGCTGCCTGCTGTTGGCAGAGGAAATCGCCGTGTTTGGCCCTTACCTGAAACTGGGTGGCTTCGCAGGTGGCCCTCTGAGGATCCTCTTCCTGTTCTGTGTTCTCCTGCTCTGGCTCTGGATCTTTCTGCTGCTCTGTCTCTTAGCTTACTTCCCTCAGTTCCCCACGCAGCTTCTAGGGGGCGCTCTGGGGTGTCTGAGCTGGAGGGGACTGTACCAGAGCTGGTATCGCCTGGGGCCCAGCTGGTACTGCCCCGGGAGGCCTGGACAGGGACTTCTCAACACCAAGACCAACGGAGCTGCAGCAGAGGACAAACTGAACCATGATCAGTAATTCATTCAAGAAAAAATAACCACTGACACAATGGAATTAATCAGGAGCTCTAGGTGGTTGTTTGGAGACAACCTTGACATTTGTGTTTGTTTCCTTCTCTTAAAAGTAAGACAAAAAGTCCTGTTGGAGCTTGGGACAAACAGATGAAGTGGGCTTTCAAAAATGTATGTGTTTTTCTCTCTATATGTATCACACATGCTCTTTCCTACTGTAGTTATTAAAGGATTGTTTGTGTGAACTCATAACTTGGGGTCATGTTACTCCCAGGAATACCCACAAGAGAGGAATTCAGGGGACAGTAGCCATTTAGATTCAGGCTGAATGTATTTGAGACACACAGACTTTGATGATATACAGCTTGTTTACATGTTGAGAAAAAAATGCCTTACTGAAATGTTTTGATGGGTATTCATTGTGCTAGTTTTATCAATTTGACAGTTGATAATTATATAAATGTATAACTTGTGAAATAATAAACTCAAATTCTGTAAACTCTGTTGATAAGATCGAATATTAGCAGGTGGACAGATGCTATAAAACATTCATGATTTCTCTGTCAGTTTTAAATTCTGCAACAGTAAAATGTTTGATAAAAATCAAAACAATGTTGTGACATTATCTGAACAGAGAGGGGAACATGGTTTTTAGTTTGGTTGCAGCTTTTATCTGGTTCTAACACACAAATTCAGTACTGTATAGGCAAAGCAAGTCATGGAAGAAACATAGGGATAGGCGAAGAAAATAACAGCATTAAGAGAATAAGCAACAGAAATGACATGTACAAATAAGATTGAAATAATTATAAGCCTACATAACATTGAATAAAAAATACCAGAATTAGAGAAACCAATACATCAAATGCACAGGAGAACAGGGGTCTTCAGGTGCATACTGTAAGTGGCTAGGCCGGGGAATGGTTTTAAAAGAATCTAAACGCATGCTAGCAGCCCTGTGCGGCTGTACTTACAACAGCAGTGTTTTGAATTACATGCTTATTCTCATAATTAAAATGCTACCATGTTAAAAGGTATTGTATTGTGTGCCTCCACTGTGTATGTTTACATGCTTTAAGTTTCAAAACGTGCTATATTTTCTCATACTGCCTGTGCTGCAGCACCTCTTTTCACCCTCTTTCTGAAACCAGAGTCCTGTCCGCTTTGATTGGTTAGTTGGCAGGCTCTTTGGTGATTGGTCAACCGCTTAGAGATGTCCCGCCCCTTAGCCTATCAAACACATTGGGCCTTTCTTATTTCTCTAAATTCCCCTCCTCGACTCCTCGACTCCTCGGTCCTCCGGTAGTGACCCGGAAATGGATTTCAGCGTGCCATGTTGAAGGACGTCTCATTTCTCTAATGCACTTCGAGGACCGAGGTTGCGGTCGGATAATCCAAAAATCAGCTCCTAACATCTAACCCTATCGTCTATTCCTTGACCTCTGAGTGAAACGTCATGGGGTTAAGGGATAGTGGATAGGAGAATTCAAAAGGATTTAGGAGAAGAGACTGCGGTACTCTAGAGAATCCGACTGCACTTTCACTATCCGACGTGTTTATGATGCGCCAGCGGACGTCATAAATGTGCGTCTGCTGCTGTGGGGAAACTATGGAAACTACAGTTTTCTATACAGCGGACTACAACATGGATGTTTAATAAGAACGACGGACTACTGTAAACTCATCTAGAGACTCTGCACCGTGCTCTGATGCTGTTGTTTTATGCTTTATGAATGGGGACAACAGAGAAACATATTCTTCATGACCAAAGTTGGAATTGAAATAAAAAAGGAAAGTGAAACTTATGCTCGTCACCCTCTCTCTCCGGTCCACATTAATACAAATGATCCCAATACGTATGATTGTATGAACTATGAAAAGATCTTAAAATCAATACAAATGTATTTATTATAAACGTTAGTCCTTAACATCTATCACTGTGTATATCACCATTCAAACATCTTAAAAGTTGAACAAACCCCACACAGCTCTGTAAAGACTGTGAAATGTTGACTTTATTTGATAATTTCAGTAAAAACTAACGTTCATATTTCTCTTTTTGATTATAATACTGCTGAACGTTCAAAACAAAGCACTTTGGCAACTTACCACATACGTTTTAAAAAGCTTAATAAGCACCGTAAATTTCATGATATCATTTCTCGTTCATAATCGGTTGTTTCCGTGAACGGCCGACTGTTGTGTGACGGCAAATGCTGCGGCTGCAAGGCATTGTGGGGCAGCATTTTCTCCTCTCCTTTCGGCGAGGGAGGTCCAGTGGTTCCTAAGCTAAAGGAGATTATAAAGGAAGTTTGAAACCTCCTTTCCTTTCATCTGGAGAATTCGAACGGCACTTATCATGGCTGCCACTGAGGGACTTCCGGGTCATTTCACTCCGTTAGGAAGGTTCCTAAGCTAAATGGACTATTCGACTTCAGCCCGAGGATCGAGCATCGAGGAGGCTCTCTGGAGGAGCTATAATCGAGGATACACTGATGGGTCCTCCGCTGATGTATTTCCGGCAACAGTGATGTTTAAATAGTCGTGCCCATATGGCGCTGGTCGTGCCGCACGGCCGGACTTATCTCAGCCAATGACAGCTCTGCATGCATCCCCTGGATATTATTTTATTAACTACTTGAATCGCAATGCGATGTTTACAGTGAGAAAAGCTGTGAGGTCCGTGCAGAAAGCAGAGCAGTGTATAATATATATCACTCAGTATAACAGGCCTACATTACTCTCTTTATTTGTATGCTTTAGTTTAGTAGATATCTACAAACAAAGAGTTGATATTTTTCTAAAACCATTTTGTGCTTAACATAATAAAATACACAACGGCTGTATCCTGATATATATGATATGCTTTAGGAGCTGTAGGTGTGTGTGTTGTACAGTGTGTAGGTTTGTGTGTGTGTGTGTGTGTGTGTGTGTGTGTGTGTGTGTGTGTGTGTGTGTGTGTGTGTGTGTGTGTGTGTGTGTGTTTGTGTGTGTGTGTGTGTGTGTGTGTGTGTGTGTGTGTGTGTGTGTGTGTGTGTGTGTGTGTGTGTGTGTGTGTGTGTGTGTGTGTGTGTGTGTGTGTGTGCGTGCGTAGATGCGGCGGACAAATAGGTCTCAGTTAGTTTGGTGTCCCATGCTTACTTTTAATACTTGTAAATAACACTTTTAAAAAATAACAATGAATTAAAAGTAAATAAGTCATCATGAACACAGTTCTGTCCATCAGTGCTGCTGTGCCTCCTGTCATCATTAATGGACGTCTCTTTAAAATGACCGTTCAGAGGATTTCTCATTTCTCTAACCGCCTGCTGCTTCCCCTCCTCTCTCCTCGGTTCCCCTCCTCGATTCCTCCGCTCGCATCTCCTGTGGGCGAGAAGGGTCTAGCTGCGGCCGCGGCCAGTACACGACACTACACGACACGCCCCCTACACGACACGCCCACCTGACACGACACTACGGTGGCTGAGAGACATTACGGTACATGGCAGATTAAAAGCGAATTGACGACACTGACGCTGACGCAAGGATATTTAAGGAGACAGGAGGTTTACAGAGAACAGACAAACAATATGGCGCACCGAGTACAGGTAATTAACGTATTGTGGTTTTAGATATAATTACATACTATTTAGGTTCTCGTTTGTTTGTCGATGTGGCTGTTTAGCGCAGTGTAATTGTGTTTATTTTGCTAATTTGTATTTTAAATATTAAATGTAAAGGAATGGAATACATATATATATATAAATATATATATCTTAGCTTGACATGCTCGACGTTCAGTTAGCATATATGCTAACTGAACATGCTCGTTCAGTTAGCATGTCAAGCTAAGAGCAAGATATATGTATATATTTTAGCTTGACAGATGGAACAATGCATGTACTCGCATTTTTACAAGAATCTGATTTTGTGTAAGTTTTAAATATTCATTGAAGGTGTCTTTCACATTTGAATGTTTTAAAAAAAAAAACATGTATTAGCTGCTATACTGACATGCACATATGTATAATTATATTATTATTTTAAGTGTGGTTTAAAGTTAAATGATATATAGTTATTGGGTAGAGCCAAGTAACCCAGGTGGATGCAATCAGGCCTCTGTTTTTAGATGGGGTTTGTGGCCATGCTGTAGGCCTGACATTTAAACCATAGACTGTATATATAAAGATTTAAACTAGCTGAAGGGCTTTCTGTTCGAACCACAGTGACATCTAGAGGTTGTTTTGTGCATAACATGTCAACCAAAAGGGTAGAGCTGGCTGAATCAGATGGAGTTAAACTTTTTTTTTTTTCAACAAGATATCAAGACACAAAATGTGCTCTACCAAATGGTGGCGCTGGCAGTTAAAGGGTTACCTTCTGAAAGTGAGGAAGTATGACCAGCTTTGTCCCATAGGATTATACAGGCCAGTCCATTGCTGCTTGTTTAAGGAGTTAACTATTTCCAATATTAAAGTCACTGAAATTGTATTCTATTTTATTCACCTATAGACAAACAACACAACACTCCGTGATGGAGCACGCCCAGAGCTCAACAAATTGGACTCGGACACCTTCCGTCCGGACACAGACGGAGAGAAGGTTCACAGATGAGGTGGCATTCGTCATGGATGTGCTTCTGCCAGAGGTTAGATTTCACTGACTTTTTATTTGTCGACTACACATTATATAAAATTACATATGTTGCACTTAAACTCATGGTCAATGTCCAGTAGAATGTTGATGCCAATTGGTCTGGCATAATTGTCACCTGCAGAATGGTACAACCTTTATTGGATGTCTACATTTTACTCTAACTGTTAAACGTGTGGCTTTAATCCCTTCATGTCACAGGCGACAGTCCACGCCCTTGCAGCTGTACTCTCGGTTTCCCTTGAAAGAGCCAAGGAAACGTATAAATGTGGACCAGAGTATGACTGGAGGTAAGCTGGAAACATGAGGAGAATGCTAATACAATTTCCATTTAAAGTGTACAACCCCTGATGCATGTGAATTTATAATATTACATATATGACTTCTTTATACCATCTTGTCTTATCAGTGAGATGGAACTTTGTTCTCATTACCTCACCAAGAACATGAGTGAGGAAGCGCACCAAAGGCTGAAGGACTCCAGTGAAAGATTCCGAAGAGCTTTGGATTCCGAGGAGTTTTTAAATAGGCTTTAACCTCCTGCAGGTCAATCCTGGCTGCTTACATTTTTATTTAAAATCATGTTGATTTTACTGTTGGGATCAATTTAAAAGGTTATTTTTTTTTTTAAGCAGACCAGGTTGAATAGTGCCCCTCTGATTTTCCACATAATGTTCTGTTCAATAAATGTTCATTGAGGAAAACGGTATCAGTGTCTTATTGTATATTCATCACAGTGAATGCAGTGAATGCTGAACTTGCCGGACCATATACTGTAGTTGAAAGTACACAATGAAACACTGGCTTGCTTGTATCAAATCAATACAATTCCCACATGCCCTACCCCAGAACCTGCGGTCTTCAGACTCTGGCCCCCCGCAGCAACCTGCGATCCTTCGGGGACAGAGCCTTCAGTATGGCAGCCCCCACTCTCTGGAACGCTCTCCCTGCGGAGATCTGCAACATCCCCACGCTTGACGCCTTCAAAAGGGCCCTCAAGTCTGCCAAGGTCTTTGGCCCCAAATCTATTTGTTTTGTCTGTCTAACTGTTCGTCTGACTGCCTTTTATGTTTGTTTATACTCCTGTTCTTTTTAAAGCGACCTTGGGTCTCATGAAAGGCGCTATATAAATCCAAGTTATTAATACATCATTGGAACGGTAAGAATCTCAGCTACAACACTGACTAAAGCCTTCCCATCTCCAGTATGCCTACATGACAAGCATTTTTATAATATACAGTAAACATATCTTTGACTTATTGCAAAATTATAAAATGAAATTCACCCCTGCTGTCATTCTGGCTTTGACTGTTCAAATGAGATGTCAACCATCAAAATGGGATAAGGGGTTCCAGAAATATCACTGTGCAAAACACACCGGCCAATTTTGACCGATAATAGTATGGGAAGGGGGGTATGACCGAATGCAAGAGAAGAGACAATCATCAAGCCAGATACCAAGGTATTTACAACAGGCAACCACTTCAATTACTTTTCCTTTATGTTATTTGGTTTTTATTAGTGCTTTTGTCGTTTTGAAGGAAATTAAAATACTGTATTGAGTTGGTTTCTTCTGTTTTGGAAGCCTTGCATATCTTTTTGGTCTTGTTAGAAATACCCCATGGTAAAACTGTGTTCTAGCAGCAGTTAAAGAAGCTTAGTTTGCTGTCTTAGACTGCCAGATGTATTAAGATGGTTTGTTCACAATTTACACATAAAACCTAAATGTTTATCTGTTTATTGTTCTTCTTCCTTTATATTCAAAGCATGTTGATTGTCTATTGGCTATATCTTGACATTATGTTAATTTGAGCATACTTGCCATACATTTATTTTAATTGATGCGATTCCTTCAAAGGTTTTGTAATAGACCCCTAGTACTTTTAATTTATAAAGTAATAATAATACATGTGAATGATTGAGCTCATTAGTGGCCTGACTGGCCCTCCTACTGTAATTTGTTCCTTAATGACCCCATGATGTGATTATGTATATCTTAAAACCTTTAACAACTATATTTAGATGTTCACAAATATCTACATTTATGTATAAAATACATGTGTAGCAGTTAGACAAACATAATCAATAGATTATCTCATTAATACCTATTTTATATCTTAAAAAAAAGTTTAGTGTAGTGACCCGGAAATGGATTTCAGCGCGCCATGTTGAAGGACATCTCATTTCTCTAAATAGAGAGGCGAAGTCCCGCCCATCTACTTCCGACCCATGGGACCTTATTTCGGAAAAATTATGTATTGAAGTCAATGAGGAGAGAAAGATTATCTTTCGATCCCGTTTGAATTGTGCCACGAATTACACATAGCCTATGATGTTTGTCAATCTTAAAAAATAATTTCCACGTCAAAAAAGTCACAGTTTGTCGTAAAACTGTTGAAATATAAGACAATGACAAATACGCAACTAGAAAGACTACGAATGTGTAATTCGTGGCACAATTCAAACGGGATCGAAAGATAATCTTTCTCTCGCCATTGACTTCAATACATACTTTTTCCGAAATAAGGTCCCATGGAGTTCTTTGGCACAAAATCTATGAGGTGTGATTTGTGCCAAAGAACGAACTCACTGAGCAGACAATCGTGTCGATCGTCGCCTACCATGCCGTGAACTATGCCGCCAGAGAAGTAACGTGACACTCTCGTCGCCACCCCTCTCATCTGAGAAGCTACGTGACGTCTGGGTCTGAAGTTACTTTACTTTGGTAGTTATCACCAAATAACCCAGTAATGTTACAGCTACGTAGTTGCTGTTCAAGCGAGACTCTATTTCAATATAGTTTTGATATTTAAATAATGTTACACCCCTTGTATGCCCTGAACGCAAAAACAACCACAAACAAGAATATATATTTGTAATTATCAAAATGATAAAGGCTGAAAAAACAGGAGAAGCCTGTCTTCCCTTGGTCTCCAGGAGAAAACGCCACTGTATATCACCAAGTTTTCATAGTTTTGTGTGTAAAATAGATCGCTGCAGTGAACACTTAATCTATTTGTTTATGGTTTATTTGATATGGAGGGATGCAGTATACATAGAAGTTCAGAGAAGAAGCAATCCCTATATTGTTTATTTTATTTCGTTTCATTTTGGCACCATGGCAGAGGCAAATATAGAGTTAATGTGCGGAGATTATGTCCCGTTCACTAAAATATGTATTGTTTTATGATGTTTAGTTGACAAAATAGTCACTGTGCTACATTTTGCTGCACTCAAGCATATATCTGAAGACAAGAGTTGTGTCTCCCTTTGGCCACAAGGGGGAGTATACCTTTAAGTGAGCGCTTCTGTCAGGAGGAAATAGGTTCGCAAACACATTGCACTCTACTGCTGAAAAAGGCTGTACAAAGATGTGAAACGATGTGCTGCAATGTCTGTGTATTTTTGAAGAATGCCAAGTAACGGAAGAAATAATCACTCGCACTGAGTCTTGATATATTACTTTATTTCCTTATTTTCCCCCTTCATTTGAGAAACACTATCCAATGATGTATTATTTCTGTGTTACACAGACCATTACTGAATTAATGCTAAAACCAAGAATAACCTACAAGGACGGACAAAACAAGGACACCACACATGATTCTTTTCCAATTACAGTATATTTATTTAAGTAACTAAATTGTGATATCAGTTTAATCAGTAATGTGTGTAGTGTATGGGTGTTATGTGTCAGTATATCAAGCAAAGAGAGAGAGAGAGAGAGAGAGAACACCTTGCATTTTATGCAATAAAAATAACTTTATATATTATAATATAGATAATAACAAAATGTAAAAAAAACTATTTACAACATTCGAAATAGGAACCAAAAGCCAACAGGCTCAGTGACCACAAACCGGCAAAACATGCCACAATCTTAATAAATATTGCCTGATTTGCAAGTGTATGAAATATACAGAAATGCAAAGAAAGGGGAAGCGTTAAACTCTAAACAGCAAATGCTACACAATCCCAAAAATCTGACATACATATTTACAAGAGATTTACTGGTGAACAGGAATCTTAAAATAAAAGGCGATGTACTTTCCAAAAGCATGGACTCTTGCAAAAATAGTCAAGCTTAAAAATGTCCAGGTTCTGCTTGACTCGTGTTACAAATTGCTGTACGAGGAAATGAGCAGAGCCCCGATAGAAGTCTGTAGAAACCCACAACGAAGAGTTTTCCCTCTGAGGCTGAAACGCAGCGAGCCAGGGCAGTGGACAGACGCAACATGGAGAGGAGGGTTCGGGCGGAGAGAGAGAGAGAGAGAGAGAGAGAGAGAGAGAGAGAGAGAGACTGGGGAACAAGGGGCCATTAGATCCTCCCAAATGTCGGGGACTGTATGATCCCCGAGATCATATATCGACAAAACTCATCAAATGCGTGACCCAGGGGAAGCTTTATGCTAATGGCACAAGTGTTCGCTTCCGGAAACAATCTTCTTGCGCCACACAGGTTGTCATGCAGGAATGTGACTGTTGGGGTCCTCTCAAAACCGAAGGCTGGAATGGCTGATGCCCCAGAAGCGAAGATGAGGACATCTTCCAAGGACACTTGCATACTGTCTCCACCCTCTTCTTGGACTGCTGCGTCTCCATCTGTAACATACAACCCAAAATCACAAATCGAGCATGATGGGGTTTTTATAGCAATCTTGAGAAGTGCCTCCATACAAATAACGGTGTAGTTGTTGAATTTATATGATTCAATAAACTCACCTTCAACCAGGATCAGCCAATCCCGCCAGTTGCCAACTGCCACCTCCTCCAAAGCCCTCCTACTGCTTCCTCTGGGAGAATAGTCCACAGTGAAGATGCTGAGCAAGGTTGCAGCTGACAAGGTAGGGGCTCCACCACAAAACACCTGTTCGAGAAGTCCTGCTTCTGTCTGCAGTGCATTTAGGACCCCCAACACTGCCAGTCCTTCCTTCATCCTTTCAATAAGAAAGTATAGTATGTATATTTTCAGATTGAAACAACATGTTTTATCATCAGTAGGATTAGATAAATATTTGACATGCAAAATAACTTTATACGTGTTCATACTGAATGGTGGATCAATGACTCATATTGAACAATCTTACTGTTTCAGGGAGGTCTCCAGTCTTCCCTCAACATAAAAAGTAATGGCTGCCTGGACCATGTCATCCCTCTCTTCGAGGTTCGAAACCCTGGAAAGGGCACCCAGCATGCTGAGGCTGTTTGATGCCTCCATCATGGCGCTTCGGGCCTCTTCTAAGGTCTCTTTTTGATCTAAAGTTGAGGTTGTAACGACAGGTAA